CCGCTGGGGGCCTGGCGCTGGGGCTGCACCCCGGGGGCGCGCAGGGAGGCGCGGGCCTCCCCGCGCAGGCGGCGCTCTACGGCCACCCGGTCTATGGCTACTCCGCGGCGGCAGCCGCCGCCGCGCTGGCCGGCCAGCACCCGGCGCTCTCCTACTCCTACCCGCAGGTGCAGGGCGCGCACCCTGCGCACCCCGCGGACCCCATCAAGCTGGGCGCCGGCACCTTCCAGCTGGACCAGTGGCTGCGTGCGTCCACCGCGGGCATGATCCTGCCCAAGATGCCCGACTTTAACTGTGAGTACCAAGCGGCCCCCGGGCCTGGGGAGGAAGGAAGGAAGAAATGGGGGAGGGGGAGTCCTGGCACACGGTTTTCCCGCGCATCCTCCTCCACCCGGCACCTCCTTCTCCTTGCTCTCTGCTCTGAGAGCACGGTGGAAGGGCCGAGAAGCCGCCTGGGCTCCGCCCGGGGCCCGCGAAGACTTATGCGGACTGCACGCTGTGGCATTGGCAGCGAATTATTAAAATGGCCACGCGCGGGCCCTGCTTTCTCTTCCTCTCCTAACGGGAAGGGGCAGCTGGAGGTGTGAGACTAAAATCTAATCATTAACCGGCAGGCTAGAGGAGAAGGAAGTGGTGGGGGAAGGCGAGCCAAAGAGCGTCCAAGTTAGGCTGGCTTGGGGATCGAGGCCACCTAAACCAGGGGCTTATCTCCAGAGAAACGAACTTAGGTAACGCATTATGGGTTCTGGAGAGACCCCCCAGTCCCTCCCAGGAGGAGAGATTCAGGAGCAGGGAACAAGAAATGGGCTTCAAGAGACCAGGGACGCAAGGCCAGGTCCCTGGCTATGCTCTGGCCATTTGCGGGGGTTCTGCCCGCCTTTGTAAGGGCGTTTGGTCCCCGATGTGATGCCCAGCAGGCAGGTGTCCTGACCTGAAGAGAGCGGTGGCACGCCCCTGCAGAAGGGATGTGCCTCTTTCACGAACCCCATCATAGGGACTCTAAATAGCAGGTGCCCGCACAGAATTGGAGGCACCCAACACAGAGTGAACCCCTCACCAAGACAGGAGCGAGGGACTGCTGACCACCCCCAGTCTGAGAGCTGCTGGGTTGTGGGCAGCATGCTTGCCATGCAGGTGGTACGCCTCCAGGAGGCCTGAGCCCACTGGACTTTCCTGGCCCGTTGGGCGGGCACACTGGGCTGGCACTCTGGGGAGTCTGGATCTCCCCTCTGCTCGCCCCACCCGGGCTCCACACGGAGGGTGATGCATGAGACTTTATGCTTTCAGCTGCAGAACACCCAAACAAAGAGACCCCATTGTTTCCTTCTGAGTGGAAGTGTTTAGACTGGGGAGATGCAGGCATAGGAGGGGAAAAAGCAAAAAGGAAAACAAAAATAAACACTTGACAATTCAGATTCCTCTGCTAGAAGCCATGGTTGTGACTAAACAGAGAAAAGCTAGGGGCCCGAGAGCTGGAGAAGTCACAGCCGGGTGAGAAAATCCCAGCCTGCGGACTGTTTGCCCCTAGCCACCCCAGGCTTTCTCCAGCTCAGCTCCCAGAAGACCCTAATGGCCACCCAGCCTGTCCAGGTGGAAGTCAGCCCCTTCTGATCCGCAGCAGGGAAAGCCTGGACTCACCTTTCAGTTTGGGGCCGCAGCTTGGGACATATCTGAACCTGCTGATCCCGGGTCAGCCAAACCCAAGGCACTCTTCCTGGACCTGGCTGTGAGCAGAGCCAACAATCCCCTTCTGTTGGAAAGCCACCTGTGGGTGTTCCTTATGATCTGCATGTCCCAGAGCCTGGGATGCTTAGTCTCCCACTGAGGGGGGTGGGGGTCTCCACACAGACCTCCCCTGGGCACTGGGTTCTGGGCTCCCTGCCCCCCCCCAATGGTTTCCTGGGCCGGTGTGGAGCTCAAGGTCGCTCAGAAAATTGGTGAAAGTCACATCCCTTTTGCCCATCCCTGATTCTCCTAATCTTGACCTACAGGTAGCAGAATAAAACCCAGCGTGCTTTAAGTTTAGAAAAGGAATCTAAATACCAAATCCTAAAAGGGTGATAATAAACAGGCCAGGATGCCGGGATGTCTTCTGAGAGTCCCTCCTCTGTCGCTGGAACACCTGTTTGGTTTCCTCTAATTGGTTGTCTCTGCTGTTGGATGGCATTTCCCAAATGGTCCCTCTGGAGTCAGTGTTTTAATTAAAGTTCTAATGTATTGTCAAGTTGGGAATTGGGGCCTCATTTAACTAAAGCTGGGGGCGTGGGCCTTCCCGTAAAGCAAACTGCCCACCCGGGGGCCTGAGCTCAGCCGCTGGGCTGCCCTCTTTTCTTTCCTTTCGTTTATTGTCTGACACTCATAAGGCTCCTGGGAAATCAAGGGAAGTCTCGGTTTTTGAGGTCATAAAATTCTCTGTGATGTAACCGTGTGAAATTATGTAAATACAGCCAAGGGACCTCCTTGAACGTTCAGAAAGCCGGATCCCCCCTTTGCCTGGCCTCCAATTGGCGAAATGAGAACTGTCCTGGAAAGGCTTCCAGGCTCCCTGGGCTTTGCCCCTCCGCAACGGGGGCAGGGCTGTCAAGAAGAGTCTTCAGTGGGGAATGTGATGAATTCACATGTTTGGGCCTGAGATGTGTCCCTCTCTATCCTTCCTTCTCTCTTTGCCTTTGCCCTACTTTTTCTCCTCCTTTTGTAGTTGAGGAGGTGGTGGTGGGAATCCTGCATTAGTTCCTTGCTGGCTGGGAGGAAATGGGACTGGTAATTCTGGAGACCTGTTTGGATTTGAGGCTGACTTGGGTGCGGTGCTGGGTGAGGAGTGGAGAGGAGCTATGCCTCTCTAGCCTCAGCATCCTGCCTGTCTGTCAAGTTCTTCTACCCTGCCCCGCACCCCCCAGATGGACAGGGCTGCCCTAGGTGACAGGCTCTCTTTAATCAGAGCACCCAGACCCTGAGTTAAAAAAAAAAAAAAAAATTGAGTCGCATTAAACCCAAACCCGCATGGCTCCACCTGGTATCCAGGTCCTGGGCTCCAGGGCCTCCTCTGGTCACTGGGTCCCTTGGGGACAGGGCGCTGACATTGAAGGAAGAGCAGCAACTTGGCAGGGCCGGTGGGCCAGGTGGCGGCCTGGGGGAGGTGGCGCTGGGGGGTCGGGGTAGGGGTGTCGGAGGACGGAGGACAGCGTCAGGCTGCAGGCCTCACGCCCCTCTCTGTCCCCAGCCCAGGCGCAGTCCAACCTCCTGGGGAAGTGCCGGCGGCCCCGCACAGCCTTCACCAGTCAGCAGCTCCTCGAGCTGGAGCACCAGTTCAAGCTCAACAAGTACCTGTCGCGGCCCAAGCGCTTCGAGGTAGCCACGTCGCTAATGCTCACGGAGACCCAGGTACAGCGCCCCCTCCCCCCACGCCACCTCAACACAAGCTGGCCTCCTAGGGGACACTCTTGGCACCTGGAGAAGCACCTCCTGACTTTAGGGGGACGGCTAATGTCGGAGGCAGAGTTCGCGTTTGCCCCGCTAGGGTTCGTATACCAAGCCCAGCGGTCCGATTCAGTAGGCTGAGGTCAGACCCAGAAATCTGCTTTTCAAGGACACTGCCACCCACTCCCCCATTCTGAAGCCATGGTTCTCAGGCCACCTTTGAGAAATCTTATCCCGGAAAGAGAGGGAACATCTTGAGATTTACAGATATGGACACTAGCTGGTCTGGCCCTTCCTGGGCAGTGGGCGAGCACCCCTAGAAAAGGACAGGAATCCGGCAGCGGAGGTCCTAGTCTGAGCTTCCGTGGAATCCCCCAGCCCCACACCTGGGTTTGCTGATGCCTAGGGGGTGGGGAGTTCCTTCCCCCTCCCTGGAGCTTCTGTGTCCCCTACCCTGAAGCCCGCTCCTGTGCAGCGTGAGGGAGGCCAGGACCCGGCGAGGCGCAGGAGCTGGGGGCCTCCGGAGAGACAAACGGTGGGGATGGAGGGGGCCGCTTTCTCACACCCTCTTGTGCTCTCAGGTGAAGATCTGGTTCCAGAACCGGCGGATGAAGTGGAAACGCAGCAAAAAGGCCAAGGAGCAGGCGGCGCAGGAGGCTGAGAAGCAGAAGGGTGGCGGGGGCGTGAGCAAAGGTGGCAACGCAGAGGACAAGGGAGGGGAGGAGCTGCTGGGGCCGCCGGCGGTTGGGGACAAAGGCAGTGGACGCCACCTGCGGGACTTGAGGGACAGTGACCCCGAGGAGGACGGGGACGATGACCACTTCCCCTACAGCAACGGCGCCAGCACGCGCGCCGTGTCCTCCGACTGCTCCACCGAGGCCGACTCGCCGCCTCCCCGGCCTGGGGGGCCCGGGCACCAGCCCCAGCCCCAGTAGGGGCCCCGCAGGCCTGTGAGCCAGGCCGCCGCCGGGCGCTGCCTGTTTGGGACAGAGAGAGGACGGCCCAGCAGGTTCAAACTTGAACTCCTGTTCTTTTAATTTAACTTCGGTTAGCGTTGGGGCGTAGTGTTTGTGAGAAGAGCTGACCGCGACCAGGGGGAGCCTCCCACTCCCCTCTTCCTGATGGAGAAGGCGGGAACCTACAGTGTTGGACGACCTGGAAAACTTGAAACCTTCTCCGCCGGAATCGCCATTCCGCTGAGTATTGAAAAAGGGAAAATGTTTTGTGCTTACCTATCTTAGGGGGAACTTTATGTCATGAGCATTCAAACCGCTGGAAATCCCAAAACTGTACTGTATTTTTGTATATTGTATTTATATATATATATATAAAGAAGCGTCTACTTATGCATGCTAAATTATTATTTAGCTTCTCCCATCGCCCACGATGGAATGTAAAATAAATTGGTTTTTTACTGGATGAGAGTGCAGATCTTTGGGGAGGGAGTTATGAAAGGGCACTGTACTATTTTTGTTGTTGAAATGATGGGGGGGTGTATTCCGCAATTGACAGCGAAAGGTGCAAATGAGAATGGCAAACAGGTGTCAGGAACACCTCCTCTTCTGCGCCGTGACGTGGACGGGGAACTTGATTCCCGCCGCTGGGGAGGCCTAGGTGCGACATGTTCGTAAAAATACCTGAGACCAGGTGTCAGCGCGTGTCCGAATGCGTGAATCTTAGGAGAGTGACTTTGGATTCCGAGTATTTATTTTTTCATTTCCTTGAGGATCATGCTTCACTGGCGCTCGTGGAAACACACTGTCTGAATATTTCAGAAAATAAGCTTTGAAACGACGAGATGATTTTCCTGGCGTCCGGGGTCGGGATTGCCTCGAGTAACCCCGGGCTTCTCCCCGGCCCTCTCTCCCGCAGGACCTTTCTAGCTGCGGCCAGAACCGTGTTTCTGGGATCTGTGCGAATGTCCGCAAGGACAGCAGCGGGCGGCCGGATCGCTTCCCGCCAGCGCTGCAGTGGCTCCGGGTTAATCAACCTTGCCGCGGGCGCCATCCATCACCTGCCGAGCCGGCCGCCGCCATGTGCTGCACACAAGCCCCGCTGCACCTGCGCGCCGGGTCCGCGCCGCCGCTCCCCTCCCCCGCCCACGACGGTCCGGGGCCGCCCGTGGGCCTAGAGGAACTAGGCGGCCAGGGCGCGCGGCTTCTCTCTCCCTCCCTCGTGCCCTCCTCCGTCCTTCTGTTTCTCCCTTTTTCTCCCCAGCCGCTGCGCGCCGGGTCCGCGCCCCTCCCTCTGTGTGCCCCCTCCCCCTGTGTGCCTCCTCCCCCTGCGCGCCCCCTCCTCCTGCGCGCCCCCTCCCCGCCCCCCTCCCAGCTGATAAATGAGTTCAGAAGGGCCAGGCGTTTCATTTGGGTGATTACCGCGGGCCAGCGGGGCCACTCCTCTACCTCAGGGCCGGGGTGAGATTAATATCCTCTCTGGCAGCTCATTATCACCCCGGGCTCGTTCCATAAAATGCAACGTCAGCCGAGGCCGGGCGCGGCGCAGCCAGAGCCGGCGGGAGCAGCTGTGGGCAGGGCGCGGGCCTCGGCCATCTCGGGGTCCAAAGGTGCTCTGGGCGGCCGGGGACTGGGTTTGCAACTGTGGGATAGCCAGAGGGCCCCGAGAAAGCAGGTGGGAACAGTAGAGGGCGGCTGGGGAGGGAGAGAAGAGAAAGACAGATGCCTTTTGGGGTTCAAAAAACCCAAAACCAAACCAAACCTTTGCAATCCGCCACTATGGCGCTTTAATTTCTAACACATTGGTGCAGTTTAGCCTGAAGCAATCTCTTCCCTGGCTGGCTTCAATCCAGAGTCGTCCCCCTGCTCGACCGGCTCGCACCTCAGCGCAGGGCAGCCGGGGCCGGTGGCGGGGCCTGCGAGTTGGGGTGCCTTCCCCCGAGGGGCAGAAGCCCCAGCAGGTCGAGAGCGGCCGGCTAGCCCCGGGCGCGGGGAAGCGGAGCACTGAAGGCAGACGTGCGTCCCGACCCCGCCGCAGCGCGCAGAGCAAGCCCGGCTTTGGCGCGGGGACTTGGCGGCGGGAAGGCCCGACCGCCCGCGGCCCCAGCGCCTGCAGCCAGCTGCCTAATCGCGGCGGAATTTATCTCGCTAATAAATTTAATGATCAATTCGTTCTTGTCACAGTAGCTCTTCCCCAAATCAATTATAGCAAATTTAAATATAATCACTGGCTCATCCTCACCCACTCCGGGCACGGCGAACAATTCATTCCGCCTAATGAACGGCCGCCAGGCCCTGCTCCGCCCGCCTCGCGGGGCTCGCCCCCCACCCCGCTGACCGCGCGAGGCGGGGGGGTGAGAGGCTCTGCAGCACCCCCCCCACCAGGACCCTGTTTCCACGACCTGGAGTCAGGTCCTCGCAGCCCGAGCCCAGGGGGACACAAGCCCACGCTCCGCAGGGCTATCGCGTGGGCCTCCCGGCTTTCCACCCGAGCTAGGGTGCGCCGTGTCGACCCTGCAGGCGCCGGGTCGCTGCAGCCCGGGGGCTGGGTCCCCAGCGAGGCCCCCACCCAGCCTGACCAGCTGCCTGCTGAGAGCCGGATCCTGAGCCTGCTTCTCTTCACCCTAGTGGGAGATTCTCCTTCGTTCTCACAAAAGAGGCACCTGCCCTGGCGAGTGTCTCCAGCATGTACAAAAGGATGTGGATAAAGCCCTTTTTGCTACAAAGAAACCAATCTGCAGGTATCTTCCAGGTGACAGCCCACAGTCCTGGCAGAGCTGTGGCCCAGGGTCCCAGGCCTCTACAGAAGATTTAATAGGCAGAGTCTGAGAAGTGCGGAAACGACTAGAACCTAGAGGAGGTGGGTCTGTTCCTTCTGAGGTGGGCCTTCCACAACCCTGCCCCAGAGGGAAGTCAGCTTGGCAAGATCAGCTTAAAAGACTTTCTATGACAGCAAAAGCAAAAATAGACAAATGGGATTACATCAAACTTGAAAACTTTTGCACAGCAAAGAAAACAGTCAACGGAATGAAAAGGCAACCCAGGACTGGGAGAAGATATTTGTAAATCATATATCTGATAAGGGGTTAATATGCCAAAGTATAAAGAACTCATACAACTCAACAACAAAAATAAGAATCCGATTTACAAAAAGGCAAAAGCCTTGAATAGAGATTTCTCTGAAGTGGACATACACATGGTCCACAAGCACATGAAAGGGCGCTCAACATCACCCATCACCAGGGAAATGCAGATCAAAACCACAATGAGCTTCCACCTCACACCCATTACCACGACTATTACAAAAAACGAAAACAGAGAATAACAAGTGTTGGCGAGGATATAGAGAAATTGGACCCTTTGTGCACTGCTGGGAAGAATGTAAAATAGGGCAGCCACCGTGGAAAACAGGATGGAGTTTTCTCAAAGACGAAAAAAAAAAAAAAAGAAAAAAACAACAACCCTAGAAACACCGTATGATGCAGCAGTCCTCCTCCTTGTGTAGCCAAGAGAACTGAAAATGGGATCTGGAAGAGGGATTTGCACACCCATGCTTGGGCAGCAGTGCTCACAGTAACCAGGAGGTGGAAGCAATGTAAGCATCCACAGTTGAAGAGAGAAAGAAAATGGAATATATTACACCATGGACTATTATTCAGCCTTTGAGAAGAAGGAAATGCTGCTCCCTGCCACCACACGGATGGACCTGAAGCACGTTATCCTGCCTGAAATAAGCCAATCACTAAAAAGACAAATACTGCGTAACTGTCCTCACAAGTGGAATCTAAGTCAAACTCTTAGAAAGTAGGAGGGTGGTTGTCAGGGCCTGGGAGGAGGGGGAAGGAGTTTTTCAATGGGTACAGAGTTTTAGTTTTGGGAGATGAAAAGATTCTAGAGATCTTTTGCCCAACCACAGTTAACAGTACTGTACTGACACTTCAGATGGTTAAAACAAAGACAGGCCTTCCTTCCTTCCGCTCCTCCCCGCCCCGTTCCTCCTTCCCTCCCTCCCTCCCTCCCTCCAAGATAGGACAGATTTGCTGTGGAAAATCCAAATCACAGGGAAGGCACAGGAGGGGAGCCCCTGGACAGAGCAGGAGGGCGTGGGCCGTCCGAGGCTGCGCTGTTGAGCGTCAGGCGCCGAGCTCCAGGCGGGTGCCATGGAGCACCTCCAGGGTCTGTGGCTTAACGCAGCGCTGCGGCGTCCCCTGCGCCACCCCTCCAGCCCAGGGTCCCGGGGTGGCCAGGCCGGGACTGCGCTCCTGGGGTGGGGAGTGGCGGGCGGCGCAGCGCGGTGGGGGTGGCGGAGGGGGTACCGCTGGGGGGCGGGGCGAGGCAGGACTCGCAGGGAGGGGCCAGTGCAGGGTGTGGGCGACGTGGGGGCGTGCTCCCCGCAAACGTGCGCGGGCCCCCCCCCCGTCTCGTATCAAAGTCCTGCGGCGCACTGTGTCTCCCTCAATAAAACTAATCCCTTCGGAGGTGTGACCTCCGCAAAGAACGCCTCACTGTTCCAGACTACAAGGGCAAATATGTTTTTCAGATTTGGTTTTTATGGTCGGATTAAAGTTTATTTTCCATAATAGGGCACCTAATAAAACTCACAAAGCCGGGTCGGGCCTCCAGCTGGTGGCCTCGTTTAACACTTTCACTTCGTAAATCACGCGCCAGGTGGGTCCCCAACTGGATGCCAACAAGAAACCCCCTCCCCCTCGCTGGTCCAGGCCCACAGTTCGAGCCCCCCGCGAGCGGGCTGGGGAGGGGCGGGTGGGGGCGGGTCTTCTCCCCCCTCCACCACCCCCCCCGCGGCCCGCGCCCCTAGACCCACCACCCTCCCCCCGCCCGCCCCCCGGCCCCGCGCCGACCCCGCGCACCTGCCGCCCCCCAGGTGTACACAAGGTTCCGGACAATGTGCGGCTCCTCCGGGCCATTGTCCGCCCGCGCTCGGGCAGGACAAAGGGTGCCCCCACCCCGGGCGGCCTCGGCCCGGGGGC